GATAACATTTACCCAGCTTTGTGGGGTACTCTTGGAATGAATTGTTGTAAAGTGCTTTGAAGATTAAAAGAATGATAAGAACTATATATGTTATTAATCATACGTCTTATTGCTTTCAAATGTCAGGCATTGAAAATTATGTCTTGCATTCTGAAAACCCTGTTATTGGACTGTCCATTTTCCCCTATTTTATGAAAGTCACATTTCATGCATTTTGAGCCATTGCAATATGGATTTTTTTGCATGAAGCAAGCACCAAAACATGGCATTTATGGAGTTTGTAACAAAAAGCATTTTTGGAGAGCTGCACCATATGTTTCTATTTCCTGTTAATGGAGCGAGTACGATTTGTTAACAGCCAGCAAATGCATACATTGACAATATAGCCTAATGTTGGTGCCAAAACCCTACAGCATCTTGGTTCACAAGATATGCATTTGACTGGATGATTTACATGTTTCTTATTTTGCTTGCAGCAGGTTTACTGAGAGAGAGAGAGAGATTTACTCTGAAAAATCAGTACGCTGGTTTTGAGGAGACACATTAAACAGTTTAAACCAGCAGTGCCTTCTAGCAATTTAGTAGCTTCCCTGCTGTAGTATCTCCCAGTACTTTCTAAATATTGCATGAGGTACTTAAAGGTGAGGACACAGCTGTTGTGAATATCCATATCCATAAATCATTATTAATGACATGGCTTACTGACAGAGTTCTCTGGGTGACTGTTGCGCCTGCCTCAAATGAGACTGACAATGCCTTTAAAAATGCATCAGTTCTGTTCACTCTTTACATTGCACAAGCTTATCAAACATTATTAACCCTGTTATTTCTTGGGCAGAATGTAATAAATGCTCCCACACTTTTCTTTTCTCCTGTGGCTTCTGTGAAATCTATTTTGGCAAACAGTGACTGAAACAAGTCTTTCAAATTAGCAGGCTAGGAAAGTAAGAAAGATGGCTGGAAATATAGGTTGTCCTGATCCTCAAAGTAATCACCTTTATAGCACCCTTTACAGTTGGTAATGCTCTATAATACCTTTACATATACTGCTTGATACCCTCATAAGCCATACAGTGCTGTCAGAGACTAGCTTTGTCAGGGAAAGATGCCATAAGATTGACATTAAGAACATAATATGTCTCACTAGGCTTGTGGGGGTTATTGGAATCTGGATATTTTCCAGGCAAAAATGTGCATATGTGCATTATATTTAGAACCACCCAAGAAAATGAATAAAGTCATGAAAAATAGTTTCCTTTTCTTCATTGAAATTTCATTTGTTTGGACATTTTCAGGCCTACTCTAATTATATTAGCCTAGGATAATATATCTGGTGGTTTATTGACTGCTGTCTAGACAAATTTTATGGTTCTCATATGTCAGAAAGCATTACTATAGCTCACAATATAAACTAAAGCTACTGGGCAGAGTGTGCATGGTTTTTTTTGTTTGGTTTGGGTTGTTTGGTTTTTCTTTTTCGTTTTACATATTAGTCTGTCTGATTTTGTTTGTTTTTTATTCAAACAGTTAGAAATTTTCTTCCTGCCTCTTTGTCATGTACAAGCCTGTTTTTAAATGTTAGTTTTCTTCACACTTCTCAATGGCCCAAGGGAGAGGATGCAGAAGGATGGATTTTCTATAATACAGAGCAATACTGGGCAATACAGAGGAGTGATGAAGGCAGACATGAGATAAGAAGAATAATTTTTATCAGTAACCTGCAGTAATAGAAATCTCAGCTTTTCTTCAACCTCTGTCTTATACCATTTTAAAATGGGACCTTTGTGACTAGGAGTACACACTGGATGTCTCCACATTTTGTGATTTTACAGAGGAAAGTCAGCTTCCTGCCATAGGCCTAAACTTTTCTTTTTAGTTGTCAAAGACTAGGAACTCTGCATTAAATAGTACTAGCTTTTCACACAATTAGCTAATTGGTCACATCATTACAAAATACATTCTCAAGGGATATTCACTGAGCAAGAAAAGAATCTCTCTCACACATGCACACATGCTTGGGGCATTAGCCCAGATGGACACAATTTTCTTGTCAGGAAGAATCTGAAAGACTGTACATTGATGAATTTATTGGCACAACCTCATTTGAAATATGATTTGATTTAACTAATAATGGAGCTGGAGCTATACAAAAATAAAATTGATGAACAGATCAGAGAAGCTAAGGAACCTTTCCACTGAGAGAGTCATATTAGCTAAATAAATACAGAGGTGGGAGCTTGATGCCAAAATAAGGCAGATATTTTGAAAAAGAGACCATGAGACTAAAGCTGGGTAGATACAGTCCATCAATAGACACTGAGGCTAGGGACCGAAATGACACATAAGCCAGTATAAGTGACTGGAGATCAGTTCAACTCTGTAACATAACAAGGCTAGGGACAGAAGTTATACATTAGCTATTTTAAGTGATCAGAAACTGGTTAAAACCTTTAAAGAACAGAAGTTTAGTGCACTTAAACTGCTTTCAAAATGGCTGAAACTGCTTTAAGATAAATTTGGATGGATGTGGTATCAGACTTAACAGATATAGGTAAACCTGGTTTATGGAACTTCTGTCCCAGATCCCCTCTCAATTCAAATTAACTCATAGTCCTCCAGGATCCCAGGATGCTATGCAGCCCTGGTCTGTGCTCTCTGCTCCAGCAGAGCAGGGCTGGCCCTGCCCCGGCCTGTCAGTCAGGGCTTTTTCATCCCCTACAGCTGGGAGCCATGCCGATTCCCCTGGCCCTGTCCCCATACCTGCCAAGGGGCACAGCCCAGTTGGGGGTCTGGAGCCAGGCAGGAGGAAGATTTCCCCCCACTCCCTCCTTAGCTGGCCTGCTGGGAGTCTGGCCATGTTCCCTCCTTGGCCAGCAGTCCAGTTAAGGAGGGAGAAGTGGGGGAGAGGGAAACGCCTCCTTCCTTCTGGCTCCAGACTCCCAGCTGTGCCTGGCACAGGCAGAGGGGAAGTTTTCCCCTGTCACTCCCTCTGAGGCTGGCCCGTGGCCAAGGAAGAGGTGTGGTCTGATGACCAGCATGGCTTCCAGCTCGGGCAAGGGGAGTAAAACTCCCAATGTGGGCTTCTCCTTTGCTAGCACCAGAGCCAGGAGGGGGTGAGCAATTTTCTCATCCCACTCCCTCCTCAGCCAGCCCACTGGCCAAAGAGGGGCATGACTAGGGTACTCACCCAGCTCCTAGCTATGGGTGGGTGGGGAGTGGGGTGAGAGGGAGAAACTACCCTCTGGGGGCTTCCCTCCCATCCCCTTTCCCCCATGCCAAGGAGACCCCAGCTGGTGGTCTGGTGGGGAGGGTTCCCTCCCCAGCCTGCCTGGGGATGAGGAAGGGTTGTAGCAAGGGGACTTGCCCAGCTCCCAGCTGTGGACACAGGGGATAAAGGGAGAAATACCCCACCAGGGACTTCTCCCCTCCCTGATTCTTCCATGCTGGGGAGACCTTGGCTGGGGGTCAGATGCTGGGGAGGGGAGGTTTCCCCCTATGCCCACTCCTCAGCTGGCCAAAAGGCTGAGAGGTGTGCTTTAGCACCCCCCTCCCCCCACCCCCCTGGCTATTGGTATGGGCCACTGCAGGCGTCTGGCTGTCTTTCTGGTTTGAAAAGGGAACATCAGTTCATTTTCTTATTGGTTTAATCAGGGCAGTTTAGACAAAACTGCAAAGATTGACTCAATTCAGTCTTGGGCTTTTGACTGTCTGTAGTTCACCCAGAAGTTCAGTCCACATAAACCTCTTGAAAAATAGACAAAACTAGTTTAAGATAAGCCTGGATGGATGTAGTATCCAGATTAATTTATTTAGGTTGAATCATTTTATTGAACTGTCCCAGATCCCCTCCAGGTTCAAGTTAACTCACAGCCCCCCAGCATCCCAGGATGCTTTGCACCTCCCCCACAAACTGCCCTTTTCAAGGTGGGTGGGATAGTCTTGGCCCAAGCTGTCTGCTCCAGCTGAGCAGGGAGGTGTGCTCTAGCTCCCCCTGGCTTCTAGTCTAGGCCAGTGCAGGCATGTGGCTGCATTTTTGGAATCAGAAGTGAATGGCTGTTCACTTGCTTATTGGTTCAATCTATGGAGCTTAGATTAACTTGCAAAGTTTAAATCAATTCAGCCTTGGGCTTTGTGACTGTCTGTACTTAGCCTGAGAGACAGTGACCCATGAATAGCCAATACCCTCAGAGTCAGCATACTTGTATGGAATGTGGAAGATGGAATCAAGTTCTTGGTAGGCATCAGACAGAGCAGGTTCTTGAATCTGGGAGTCCCATCTTCCTGGAGAGTACTTTCATGCACAGGCAATCAGGTATCCATGTGGCCAAAAATTCCATTCTTGAATTGAGAAATATTTTCTGAGTTTTGACAGCTGGCATTTTCTGCCAAAAATTACTCCTTGCAAGGATGTCAAAGAGATGACCCATGGCCTGGATTCAGCCAGTGGAGCCCTATCATATGGCCCACAGTAGTCTTGGACTACTACACTGCATGTAGTACATGCCAACCCTGCCCCTGCATGCTAAATAAAGTGCATGGAGCCTATGTGGTGCAGGTTGCACATGGTATAAAGGCTGGAGCTGGCATGTGCTGCACACAGAGTGTGGGGCTAATCTCAGGTGTTTACTACATATGGCACCTTTGAACCATGATGGATTTGGGGCTAGTCTGGATGTGGCATGCAAATCAGCTGCATGCGCCAGATTTACATGCAGGGCCAGGCTGGCACAAGTACCACATGTGACATGTATCCTGGACTGGGCCCATGTGCTGTATGCCACACCAGGCTGGGATGGTGTGTGCTGCATGTGGCATGAAGGGGCTGGAGTTGCACGTGTGATTTATGCAACATGCAAAGCTGGTCCAGGGCATGAGCTCCAGGCAGCACCTATACTGGCTTCACCCTGTGGGCTGATTCCTGCAAATTGGGGTTGTCTGTGGGCCCAGTCTGGCCTGGCATCAAATAGATGTAATTCTGACCTTCTTCCCTTTTATTCCAGCATCAAAAGTTGAAGATCTAGTTCTCTACACCTCATATCTACTGTAATTTTCTGAAGGAAGCTGTCATACATCCTTGTATTAGAGGAAAGCTGTGGAAGTAAAACTAAGACAGACAAATTTAAATTTTGTCAATATTATTAAGAGCTGTGTTCCCATTCAAGCAAGCTAGTATCAATTGAGTATGTGTGTGCTTACGAGCATTAGGATTGATCTGCACAAAAAATTTAGTAGACCACATGCTGAAAAAGCTAATGACTTGGTGTATCTCTATGTATCATAATGGCAGATACAGAAGACTGCTAGATCTAACTGCTTAATAGACAGGGCACTCATTTACCATGTTCTACTTTTTTTTTCATTTGGACAATATACTTGTCTGTGGATTGTACATGCTCACAAAATAAATAAGAATGTATACTGTGTGATTCCTTTTTATTTCAAAATACCTTTTTTCTTAGAAAAAAAGAGAGATTGGGGTATGTAACAGGGAACCCAAATACTGTTACTTGGGCACAATGGAGGGAGAGGAGAAGGGACTGTAACAGGGAGTCAGGAGGCCCCTGTCACTTTAAGAGGATGCAGCAGGTTAAGCCAGGTGTGTGGGGATGTAGCTGCAGGAGTGCAGGCTGGCCTTTAATTAAGAGAATAAAACCCCTATGCCAGGCTGGGGAGGGCACATGACAGAAAGGGGGCATGGCTTCCAGAAATATAAACCCAGAGCATGAACCAGAGTGGGCAATCAGACCCTGCAGGCTGCATGGAAAGGAGCATTCCCCAGGGAAGCAGACTATGGGAAGCAGTGCTCAGGGATACCTAAGCTACCCACAAGGGTGAAAGTAAGCTATCCCTGGGAATTATAGGTTATGATCGGATATTGACAGAGGGATGAACTTTATGGAAGCAATTTGCTTGCATTTTGGTTGTGCTGGTGTATGTTTGTTTGTTTTTGTTGAATAACCAGAGGACTGGGAGTGGCTGTAGGGGTGGAGAAGGCCATGAGTGCTGGGAGTGGCTGTAGGGGGGGAGAAGGCCATGAGGGGGGTACCTGGTGGGCATCCTCCACTGCAAGGTTGAGGCCTGAAGAGCTAGGTTCCAAATCAGTGGACCTGAACTGAGGGCCTCAGCTAGATTAAAAAGGGGCTGAGGCCCAGCAGGCTGAAGCATGGACAAAGGGGTCCAAGGAGCCCAATGTTAGCCTGGACAGAAAGAGAAAGTCTTGACTTTGGAGGTTGGGATCTGAACTCCAAGGCAAGCAGGCCAGGGTAAGCCCACAGAGTAGGAAAAGGGACTAGAAAGAATGCTTGCCAGTTTTTAAGGACATTTCCTGTTCAACAGGTTGGAAGCTTCGGTATTGCAGATGTCTATAAACAATCAAGTGAAACCTCCCTCCATCTCTCCCTCACCCAGCCACACAGACTGGGGTTACTCACACTCAAGAAGATGGTGAACTGTTACAAAATTGGGCATCCAGCCATGACCTTTGCCCTGATCCACAACTCTAAACAGCATGGCACCTTCCACTCACCAAGACGGGACCAAGATTACTTCCCTGACATATGTTGGGTTACATCAGTCAAAAGCCACCCAGAACCAGCATTTTGCATTGTTCTAGATTTCTTTCCACACAGTGAACACAATCCATCACTCACCCACATTGGCCTGTAATTGCCGGTCATTAAATGTATAAGAAAACCAGATGGAGCTGCAGAAAAGCTAGTTGGTCTCTCTTCATCTAGACTATTCAATGATCCATTGTCACCATCCCACAGAAAAATATTTAATTTGATGAAGCCTGTAAGTATTTCATGGTGCCCTCTATAAAGCAGTGCAATCCTCTGTTCCCAGAGTATTTTGTCCCCTCTACACTCCTTGCTTGGATGAAATGTGCTGCTCTAAATGAATATGAAAAATCTGGTGATCCAGATGTTGCAGATCACCTGCTTGAATCGCTTGATGCTGCTCATCAGAAGCACTGGGAGGACTCAACTTCAAGACAATTTTTGCCATTCCAGTTGGAGGACCTGGGGCCTCATTTACCACCTGGGAGTGGCTCAGTGTCCCCCAGCCCAAACTCAATCATCTGTGTCAGCCAATGCCATCACCAAACACCTTCTGAAAGGGGGAAGAGGCCCCCATAACATCAAGGATTTTGAGTGAAGAATGCATAAGGAATGGTGTCATTTCCATCAAAGTGTTCAGAACCAAGATCTATAAACCTCTTCACCAACAAAACTTGACTCTGTGCTGTGCAAATTAGAATCCAGCACTGCAACTGACTGTGACAATGTGTACTCAGAGTATCTGAAACATTTCACTCCTCAAGCTTGTAATTGTATTCTACTTTTCTTTAACTATGTTATACATGAATGATGAATTCAGTATAGCATTGAGAAAAAAATCACTGGCCTACCCAAGCCTTGCAAAGACCCACGATTGGCAGCAAGTTACTGACCAATCTCCCTCCTGAGCATCTGCTACAATACACTTGAGAGACTTATTTGTGTGTGCTGATGACAGTGCCTTTGCCACCCAAGCTCATGACTTTTCAAGTGTGGAACTGATGCTTGATGGAGACATGAGACAGATGTCAGAGTATTGCCTAAAATAGTGCCTCAAACCAAATATTTCAAAAACTGTCTTAAGTGTTTTTCTTCTGCATAATGCCAATGCTAATCATAAACTCATTCTCATTTTAAATGGTCAGCCTCTCAAATCTGAAACTGACCCAGTTTATCTTGGAGTCAACCTTGACCAGACTTTAACTTATAAATTACATCTCCAGAAAACTGTTTTAAAAATCAAAGCAAGGAATAATCTACTTGCGAAACTTGCAGGCTTCACTTGGGGTGCCAATGCCTCCATGCTACATTCATTTGTCCTCGCACTGTGCTATTCAGTTGCAGAATATTGTGTCCCTGTATAGGCTCGTTCATCACACAGCAAACTAGCAGACACCAAGCTGTATGCTACAATGTGTCTTGTGTCAGGCATATTGCACCCCACTCCACTCCATGGTTATCAGTTCTCAGTAATGTTGCTCCCCCTCATCTCCACTGCACAAATGCTGTAGTAAACTTACTAACCACACTCCATGATAATCCAGTGCTGTCACTGGACCTGAACATATTCCATCCACCAATAGCTTGGCTCCCCTCAAGATGCCCACCCTTTCAAAATCTTTTGGACATTCCTTAGTTACTCCATGGCACAAAGAATGGTCAGAACAAGCACCAAAAATCACCATATCAGCTCTGATCCTACAATCTGTCAACCAGAATTTAACTGACCATGCCATTATTTGGCTGCCTTAACTTGAACTGTTAAACTGATTTTGAACTAGACAGGGTCACTATGCCTCAAAACTATAGCAATGGGGCCCTTGGAATGATAACAAATGCCCTTGCGGACAAGTTCAAACCATCTCTGAAATAATTGACTCGTCCATTTACAGTGCTACCTGGTTGCCTTCAGGCTCTTCACACTGGTGATAAAATCACCTTAAGATGTCTGAAACAATATGCTGAAAATACATATGCTAAATTAATTAAAAAAAAGAGTAGGGACTATTGTGATTGTGGTTGTGATTGTACAAAACTGTTTCACATAAAGATCAAAATATGTAAAACTTTGAGGAGTATAATAGTCTTGTAGACTTTTATCATTTCTTGGAGGGGAAAAAGGTGCATGTTATAGCTATACTGCTAAGTTATGTTGAGAGGTGACTGTAAAGGGATCCAGATCAAGTAACTGCACTGGGATGGGGCCTGTACACTGCATGCTCAGCAGGTGTCTCACTTTCTTGCTTTCAAATCTCACCTGCCATGACTTGATGTAGTTGAAATAAAGTATAAAGAAGTAGCACCTGCTCAAAGAAAGTTGACTGAGGTTGGCATGGGTTGACATTGGGGTCTCCTTCTTCCCTACATCCCACTCCTTTCCACTTGAGGTTCCAGTTGGTGCTGGCCACTCACATCTGGCCATCCTGAGTGACCGCCTAACAGCTGAGGCGGAGAAAGAAGCAGCCAGGTTGTCCAGAGTCGGCATGTTTCCACTATGCTCACTGGATTTTACTGCAAGTTCAGGGTCAATCAGGCATAGCCTGCATAAAGAAGCAAATAAACCAATAAAAACTCAAATGACCATGCCCTAGGCTCTTTGGTACTCCAAGCACCCTGGTTGCTTTTCCTCAGGCAATCCCAGTCCCACAGCAGTTGCCCTGTATTTGCTCAGTCTGTATGGGCCTGCCTGTCCTAAGCAATCCCCTGGAGTAATGTGGGGCCAGGGGAGTCACAAATCATGGCTTAGCCCCTAGTGGGTACCTGGGTTCTCCTGGCAGTGTGGTGATCCAACATCAGTCTGGAAAACTCAGATGCTTGAGGGCCTGTGTTTCTAATCCTCTGCCTCCATGGGGAAACATGATGAGAGCCTTCATCTGTCCATGTGTTTTCCGCCCCCATTCTGGGGTCATTATGAACTTGCGTAGGGTTTTCTGGGCTGGCATGAGCCAATGTGCCTCCCTCATTCACCCCCACATGCCCAGCTGCTGACAGCAGGTGTTCGGAGCCCCTGAAGCTCATTATCCCCTGCAGCTGTTGCCTTTGGGCCCCAGGTGGTGCTGTGTGCACCAGCCATCTGCTCCCTCTCTGGGATGCAGTCTGAGCCCACATGGGGCTGGGGTTCTGACCCCCAGCCCAATCCAGGCATGGAGCCTGGGGAACACTTGCTATGTGCTGGCTGCCTGTCTGGCAGTGCAGCGGAGCCTGCCCTGGGAAAACAGGCTTGTTGTTTCCCTGCAAGCAGTAGCTGGGAATCTGCTGTCTGTGGGGCATGCTGGCAAGCGCTGTCTTGGTGAGTATGGTGCTTGGCTGGGCCCCTGCTACACAATGTACATTTATACTCTAGTCCACACAGTTGAGTTTCCAAGAATTTAGTTTGTGGAAAATTGCTTATAGCTGGAAGATATTTATATTTAATATATAACATTTTCCCTATGGCAGATTGTAAAACACACTTTGAATTCCCATGGAAGGGAGAACTAATAACTTTAGAAACAGTATGTATAGTGAATACCCACTCCATTTAATCTGCTCTGGTATTTATTTTGGTATTTGTATTCTCTGCTTGAAATCTGTATCTATATCCATCAGTTCAGAATCCAGTTCCTATGGATGCTGGTGAATGGAGAATACATTTATGCTTGAGGTAAATTGCAAGATGTACCATAGTAGGAACTAGGAGTAGCTAGTGCTCACAGTGTAACATTAGACATGTGCCTCTTCTATTCTCTCACTGGTACTCACTTAAAAGAGATGGAAAAGGGGAGTCGGGAGGGGAGTCTCCTCTAATTTTTCTTCCTTTCATCAATATGGGGCTCATGGAATAGTACTGA